GTATTTCAAGGCACAAGGGTGAAAACTGCAGTCTCTTCTCTAGTGTCGGATTTCATTCCATGCGACACTTCTGCCACATTCTACTGGTTACAAAGAAGACAACAGGCTTGCCCAGATTCAAAGATGCTCCACAAAGCTAAGCCTGGTTTACTGGAGGACCATCTTTGGAGACTGTCTTCCACAGTACCCACTCCATTGACTTCATTCCAACTCACTGTGACCCTGTGCATGTTTGAGGGGAGGGGGGAGCAGCTGGTAGGTTTGAGCCATCGATGCCACAATGCCCCTGGGCTTCCGATTTCCACAGCTGAGATTAAATATCTGAAATCTGTGTAGATGAGAGTACCACGCACATTTTCATAAGAGCAAGCTGTTGTTATGTATCGTGTCCTGTAAAATATGCATGGTGAGTCCTCGCCGGTGGTGAAAGTCCTGGTGGCACAATGGTTAAGTGTTCGGCTGCTTCATGGGAGAAAGACAAAGCATTCCATATTTGTAAAGATTTTCAACCTAGGAAACCTCATGGGCAGAGAGGTTATCTGGATATGGTTCCCAATGAGCAGTTCTATTTACCATCATAGTCCGTCCATCGCCAGCTGCGAGAGGTCGCTCGGCAAGTTAAAACGAATTACCACAGGTGCAATAGTCCATATACACAAGCGTCTGCCTACAAGGTAGTTCTTAGACCTGTAGGGTCCCTAAGAGTCTGAATGGCAGTGAAGTTGAGAGCCACAGGTTACAAATCCCACTGGGAAATGGGTGATCTTTGTTATGTTAATGAAGTAGACTGAGTGTAGGTTGTGTTTTAAATCAATCTCTTTTGAGATACCAGGGTAAGTAAAAAAACGATTGCTAGTAGCAATCTAGTTGATAAATGCATGAGTTTGTCCTAAACAAAACTTGTTTAAACAAGTATCTGCAAACAATAGATGGCTGAGGACAAGTTCTCTTAGTAATAGACTTGTTTTAGTCTCATTTCCGGTGCCTTCAAAACAGAGGTTTACACAAAACAGTGGTTTCCAAGAGGATCCACTGGACCAGTTACAGACAAGAGGTCAGCTAGAAAGCTTTTGGCCCCCCAATAAAATAAAATTTTAAGAAAGAAAGCTTATGGCAAGTGTGTTGGGATCCCAAGAGGGGGGAGAGGGGGTCATCTTGACAGATTTTCTGAAATGACACGGGACCATCACAGCAGCTTACTAGGAAGAAGTTTTAAGAAAATTGAAATTTGTATTGGTGAAAAATAAGGCAAGGAAAGTTGCCACAAGGGATTTTTTTCCTACCACAACAATGTAGCTGCTCATTTTTCAAGGGCAGTAAGGTCTGTCCTCCAAGAATTTCCTTGGGAAATCTTACCACATCTTCCCTACATCTCTGATCTTGCTCCTTTAGACTTGAGTTGTCTTTCCTAAGCGCGCGCGCGCGCACACACACACACACACACACACACAGTTTAAAAGAGCACAATTTGAGTCCCTTGGAGACGTCAAAACTGCTTTCTTAATGTAGTGTAAATCAAAGAACAAAACATTCTTCTAGAAATTGTGTAAGAGATGGAAATACTACTTTCAGAAATGTATAGCCCTAGATAGAGGATAGGGGGCCCATTTGATGTAGAGGTTAGTATTGGGCTGCAATGCACATGGTTGGCAGTTCAAAACTACCAGCAGCTTTCGCGGGAGGAACACTGGGCTTTCTAGGTCTCTATGAGTCAGCACTGACTCTAGGGCAGTGAGCTGCGTTTAGATAGAGCATGAGTTCAGAAACAATAACTTCACATTTCGATACTTTTGTTTAATAAGTTTCCGTAATATTTTGGTTTTTTTCCCTCTATGTATATATGTGTCTATCTCTGTGTTTGATTTCTATGAGTCTATAGCAATCTTTTTTCATTTAGTCTCTTATCAGAGGGATTAAACAAGCAAAGTTGGGGTGCAAGAGATGCCAAGTCATATGAAGATTGCCCAGGAGCAGAAACTCAGAAGAGCTAAGGATCTTCTTTCAGAACCTCTTCTCCTAGAGCTGGCTTTCTGAACTCAGACTTCTAGCCTCCTAGACTGCGAGAAAATAAACTTGTTTGTATGGTATTTCTGTTGTAGCAGCATTAGATAACTAAGCCAGTTCCATCGATGAGTTTCAAATTGCACTCTCAAGGAAATCTGTTTCACTGCTAATGAATAATGAAATATTTTCTATATTTTGGAAGAAAAACTGGGACTAACCAATTTTTCCCCTCAACACAATATTTCTTATAAACATTACCTTATTCCTTGCTATTAGACAGGACAATCTGGGAAATACTTTGGAGTTTTCATAGCATGTTTCTCCATTCCAGTTCTGCAATGAAGGAGGGCAGTCTTTGTGCTCCCTGGCTCAGAAGTGTGTTATTTTAGGTCTGAAAGCAGAAGGCTCCTACAGACACTCCCCTGTTTGCTTTTGTTTTGCAAGAGCTTCAAGAGTCTTATTCACTGGGGTAAGGAAGAGGCAAAAGCTGGAAAGCAGCAGAAGTTGGCAAGTACTGTATCAGCAAATGTTCCCGCCACTTCACGCTTCGGCCCTTCCACTCACCTCCTTTATCCCTCCACACTACGTAGTACTTTAGGTCACCTCCTTGGCATTTCCAACATTCCATGGAGTTACCACACTGGGTCAACCATTCCTGAGATCTTCTGAGTGGTCAAAGAGGAACCATGGGGGTGGAAGTTGGGAAACTTCAGATAGATTACCATGCTTGTCTTCTTTATGTATAGGGATCAAAGGAAATGAGCGGAGTTACCAAACCAAATCCAAACTCACTGCCATGAAGTCGATTCTGGCTTATGGTGGCCCCTTCTGAGACGAAATCTTGATGAGAGTAGAAAGCCTCATCTTTCTCCCTCGGAACTGATGATGGTTTCCAACTGGTCACATTAGGACTAGCAGCCCAACTCATAACCCACTATACCTCTGGGACTCCCAATGGAGTTACAGGCGAGTGTAACTTTTCCAGGCTGAGAATATGAATACCCATCAACAAAACTGGAGAGCTGAGCAGCTGACTTACTATAAGTATTTACAGGGAGTAGAAGAGAACTCATTCTCATTTCTGGAATGCCAAGTCTGACATAATGGTCTTACTGCCATCGAGTCAATGCTGACTCATAGCAATCCCCTGTGGGTTGACGGAAGTAGAAAGCCCAGTTTTTCTCCGGAGGAGTTGCTAGTGGTTTCAAACTGCTGACCATGCGATGGCAGCCCAACACATAACCACTACATAAGTTGGCCCTATATAGTAGGAACAAGATGAGTTGAAGTGGACTCAATGGCAGTGAGTTTGCTTTGGTTTAAGGGCAGCTGGAAAGACAAGCATGTTGCATAGGTGAAAAGTCAGGGTTGCAGAGAAGAGGCACCAGCAGATGTGGAAGAAGTAAGCTCAGAGACAAGAGAGCAGAGGGCTGAGGGCAGTCTTCACTAGATCCTGCTACACAGGTCGAAAGCCCACAGGCATAGTTTACTTAGCTCACAATTTTTTAATCCGAATTTTAAAAATGAATTGCCAACTTAATTTTAAAAATAAGAGTTTTCATACATTCCAGGTTATGGAACCTATTGATCTCAGTAGCCTTTTTTTTGAGAGCAAAGCAGTAATCAGGGAAAAGGAGAAAAACAATTTAATAATGTAACTAATAACTGTGTAAGTCAGTGTAAAAATATTTTACAAAACAATGTTATTAGTAGTACTCTTATAATCTAAGAACCATTATCTTTTAGGACTTTACAACTCTATTGATCACATCGTATTCTAACACTAAAATTGACGATATGCAATCCGACGGATCCTATATGGTTTGGGACAGGAGGCCCACAAGGAAGGATGATGCCACGAGTTACCGAACGGGGTGACATCAGACCTCGTGACGCCACTGCCTCAGATGCTGGGGTTGATAAATTCCACGCATTTATTATGTGTTAAGATGGGGCCTCCCACTCGCTGCAGGCCTTCTCACAGGATACTGCAGCGGTCCACATTTCTTTAGCAAGCTTCTGCATTCCCTGAACAATTTCCCTTTTCTTCCTTCCTTTGCTCATCCCAACCCACTCTCAGGAAGGAGGAGATATCTCCTTTCTTGTCCTGGCGACCCACTCTTGAAAGGTCGTTGAGAAATGAAGTTTTAGCCCAGATGAAAATGGAAGCAAGCACTTCTCTGAGTCCCCTACTTTTTTAAACAAACTACGGCAGTTAAGTGGTCATGACGAAAAAAGAAAGCTAAATGCCTCTGCCTCCGTGCGAGGGAATTCCGCGGCCGCACGGTGATGGGGATCAGCCTGCCGATCTCTAAAAGCATTTTCCAGAGAGCGTCCAGGGAAACTTGAATTTGCGACCGGCGGGTTCCGAGTGGTCGCGGGAGGCGGCCGC